GTTCAAACCCACCAGCCACTCCTTGGAAGGAAGGTTGGGCAATCTACTTCCATAGTGATACTGCCTCGGAAACCCAAGGAGGGGTCACTATGAGTTGGGGCCGACTCGACGGCACAGAACAACAACAACAGCACTGCTGGGATTCATTTGGTCTGAACCTACCTTTGCACCTTCTCCAGACAAAGCTCCCTTAGGTTTCTCTCAATGTGCTTTTGAAGTCAATTTGATCATTACAAAGCATTTAGCATAAGGACATCAGTCTCAAAAGAGTTCATTAGGCAGCTAAAAATAGGTTTTTTGTTTTCTGAAATCATTGAGCCTCCAACACTCATTAACAAGTCCTTCCACCTTATCAATATACTCTGTACTTCTCCACTCCAGTTTTTGATCATATTTCTTTCTTTTTTTTTTTCAGAATTTGGAAGTAGTTACCACCTTTAACATTCAACTCACAGCACTTACAATCACAGAGATGAAAAGAACTTGAGAAGTCATCCAATTCAATCTGCTCATTTTAAAGATGAGTGTTGTATTTCTTCTGGAAGATTTATTTGGCTAAATTCAGATGAGCTCTATCTGCCTTTGGAGTTAAATGCAGAAAATAAAAATAAAGCATGGACTGGGGTGAACTGCAGTCACTTGGAGTGGAGAAGAGAAGCTATAGAAGGAGAAGATAACCACTGTAGAGTCAAAATTATCAACTAGACGATGTTATCAGAAGCTGGAAAAATATTGGTCATCTCAGTTATGTTCCCATACCTAATCTAGTTGTCTGAAAAAATAGCCACATGAGGCCATTTATAACCTATATCCATACCCATATCTAATTTTATAATAAAGACAATAATGCACTGCCATCGATTCGGATCCAACTCATAAAGCATGATTAAAAAAAAGCATAGGTTTTGGAGCCTGTCCAATCTAGGTTCAGATCCTCACCCCACCACTATGTGGGTAATCTTGAGAAGTTACTGAGGCTGAGTTTCAAAATTTATAAAATGAGGATAATAGCTGATACCTATAGTATAGGGCTTTTGAGATGTTTATATGAAATGGTATATACAAAATACTATAGAATGCCTGATGCATATGTGCTCAACAAATGGTTGCTATAATTCCATCCCACTCAGTCCAGTTTACCTGTTCTAAGTAATGTAGTGACAAGTTGATATACTTGGCCTCTGTTAGAAGCTGGCCCCCAACTCCAGTCTTTGCAACTCGCTCTGAACCAGCCAGGTCAACCAAATGGAGTTTGGCATGACGGACTGTTGCAGATCCTGGTTCCTTGCTTGATAAATGAACAGTGAAAATGCAGTGGGAACGTGTTGAAGCTTGGTTCATAGGAGTCTACAAAAAGAAATTGCAAAACAAAAACAATTTGAACAATGATAATTTTGAAGAATACCAAGAGATTTAAGGAAGGAAGGTTGGGAAATCTACTTCAGTAGTGATGTTGCCTCAGAAAACCCAAGGAGGGGTCGCTATGATTCAGGTCCGACTCAACGGCAGTGTGTTTGGTTTGTTTTTTTAATAATAAGACATTTTCCATGAAGCCAACACTGTCAGATAGTGCAAAATCACTTGTAGCTGAGACCCTTAAATTGAGTTCTTTCCAATATACCTTTTGATTGACTGATACCAGATGTGGATGTGTTGGTACAGAAAGTTAGAAAAGAGTTCTAATAATATTAACTTTGGATACTCTTATCAATATAATAACTTTATCTCATTCTATGACTACAGTCCATACCTTAACTTTGACTAGGTATATTGAAAATGCCTAATGTTAATTCAAAGGAGCTCAGTAGGTATAGTAATTAAGGGATTTGGCTGTTAACCAAAAAGTCAGTGGTTCAAACCCATGAGCCACTCACTCTATGGATGAAAGATGAGGCAGTGTGCTTCTATAAAGATTTACAGCCTTGGAAACACAATGGGAGTTGCTATGAGTCAGATTCAATTTAATGGCAGTTTGGTTTTGGTTTTAATGCTACTTCAAAGGAAAAGAGGTGATGTGTATATCAACAAAATTCATTATCACATTGGTCCTCGCCAATGTAATTAAAATTGAAAAAAAAAAGAAGCAAGCAAGAAATGCAAGGCATGCAATAGGAAAAGAAGATAAAAATACCATTCTGTACAGAAAAGATGGTGGTTTACATTAAAAACGCAAGAGCATCTACAAGTTGTTAAGAACTAAAAAGTTTAGCAGACTTGCTGGATGCAAGATCAATATGCAAAATTAATGAAATTCTAAAAGTCCAGCAATGCTTAATCAGAAAATATACAACAGAATATGAGATAACAAGGTATTAATCTTAAAAAGATATGAAATTTATAGGGAAAATGATAAGTATTAAAATACACAAAAAGGAAACATGAATAAATGGATGATAGATATGAATATACCATTACGGATAGAAAAGCTCAAAATTAATCTATATATTAATCTCTAATAACCTATTTGTTCAGTAAAATTATAATAAAAATATTACACATGTTGTTTATGGAACAAGACAAACTAAATCTAAAATCATCTGCAAGAGCAAAAATTTCAGAAATGGCAAAAAGTAATTATGTGAAAGAAGAACAAAGGGCAAATGGAGATTTTCTCTGTCATAAATCAAGGCATATCATAAATCAAGGTATATCACCAGTATGGTATTGATGTAGACACCAAGACCAGTGAAAGGGAAAGTGCTCATTTAGGAACTCTGTATAGAACAGAGGTGGTAGCATACCACAATGAGGAAAGGATGGACTAATTAATAAATGGTGCTACAACATCTGGAGGGAGCTCTGGTAGCATAGTGCCTAAGGCACTTGACTGCTAACCAGAAGGCTGGTGGTTCAAACCCACCAGCCACTCCTCAGAAGGAAGATGGGGCAATCTACTTCCATAGTGATACTGCCTCGGAAACCCAAGGAGGGGTTGCTGTCAGTTGGGTCCGACTTGACGGCACATAACAACAACAACAACATCTGGATAGCAATCTTGAAAACAAATTTAGATTGCTTTCTCATACGATACACATAAATTAATTCCAAATAGTTTAAGGCTATATGTAAAATAATACAACAGTCACACTAATAAAAAATATATAAAAACATATCTTAGTCAACCAAAGGTAGTAATGGATTTTTTTTTATAAGACATAAAACACATGAAAAAAGAAATTGATATAAACTATTTGGTCAAATAACTCAAAATTGACAAACTTCTGTTTGGTAGTTTACTACAAACAAAGTTAAAAGACCAGGAGAAGATATCTGCAATACATATAGCTGACAGAAGATTAATTTTATTTGAAAATAGTGCCCACAAATCAATAAGAAAAAGATAAACAACTTAGAAAAACAGGCAAAAGTACAAACAGGCAATCCATAAAGCAAAAACTTAAAAATGGTTAATAAATATTTGAAAAATGCTCAAATTCACAAACAACTAGGGGCTACACAAATTAGAATCGTAACAATAAACTATTTCACACCCATCAGACTGGCAAAAAATTTAAAAAATAAAGTCTAACTAAACAAGTATTTAATTTCAGGAGGTAGCATATGATTAAGAACCAATGCTATTGAAGGAAGAAGTCCAAGCTTCAGTGAAGAACTGGTGAAAAACAAGTGTCCAGGAATTGACAGAATAGGCACTAAGATGTTTCAACAAATGCATGCAGCACTGGAGGTGCTCACTCGTTTATGCCAAGAAATCTGGAAGCTAGCTGGCCAACCATTTGGAAGAGATCCATATTTGTGCCCATTACAAAGAATGGTGATACAACAGTGTTCTGGTACACCGGTGGCACCAGAGGGCCACTCTGACAAGAATATACCACAAATGGGATGGCCTTAATAAACAGGAGTTTATTCTCTCATAGTTTGGAGGCTTTAAGTTCAAGTTCAAAGTGCCAGGTTATTGGGGCTGTATGAAAGCCCCTCAACTTTGGGCTTCAGCTCTGCCTCTTACTCCCAGACCACTGGAGCTAGAGGCATCTCTTTACTCAGATAGCTACTGGCTGCTGAGGCTAACAAGCCCAAGGTTGCCAAATAAAATGGCACAGTCTCTATTTTAAAAAAGTACATGGCAGGCCATTCATTCAAGTTCACTGTAAGTCCCAAGGTCGGCAGAGCATGGCAGGCTCATGTAGCACAGCTACACGCAGGATCCGAGCATACCAGAAGCTAGAGACTATCCCCAAGGCTTCTCCTTATATACAGAAAGCAGACCACATCCCAAAGGCAGCTACTCAGCTGCTTGTGGTAGATCCCACTGTGGAGCTGATTGCCAGTTTCATCATGGGGAATAACTACCACCAGCTGCCCAGCCACTCAACCAGGTCCAGCCAAGTTGATACACAAATTTACCACAAACAGAATGTACAAATTATCAAACAATATCATTAATATCACATGCAAGTAAAAATTTTGCTGAAAATAAGTCAACACCAGTTGCAGAAGCATATTGAAAGGTAATTGCCAGAAATTCAAGCCAGATTCAGAAGAGGATGTGTAAAGAGGGATATTATTGCTGGTATCAGGTGGATCTTGGCTGAAAGCAATACGAGAAAGATGTCTACATCTGTTTTATTGACTATGCAAAGGCATTTGACTACATGGATCATGACAGATTATGGATAACATTTCAAAGAATGGGAATTCCAGAACACTTAATTTGTGCTCCTGAGGAACCTGTATGTAGACTAAGAGGCAGTTTTTTAACAGAACAAGGGGATATTGTGTGGTTTAAAATCAGGAAAGATGTGTGTCAGGGTTGATGCTTTCACCATACGTATTCAATCAGTATGACAGGCAAATAATTTGAGAAGCTGGATTATATGAGGAAGAACAGGGCATCAGGGTTGGAGGAAACTCGTTAACAACCCACAAGATGCAGATGACACAACTTTGCTGGCTGGAAGTGAAGATAACTTGAAGCACTTACTAATGAAGATCAAGACTACAGTCTTCAGCAGGGATTACAATCTCAACATAAAGAAATCAAACAGCCTCAGGACTGTACCAATAACCAACATCATTATAAGTAGAAAAAGATTGAAATTGTCAAGAATTTAATTTTACTTGGATCCACAATCAATGCCCATGGAAGCAACAACATGTATTGCACTGGGCAAATCTGCCACAAAACATCTCTTTAAAGTGTCAGAGAGCAAAGATGTCACTTTGAAGAGCAAGGTGTACCTGACCCAAGCCATGGTATTTTCAATTGCTTTGTATGCATGCGAAAGCTGGACAATGAATAAGGAACACTGAAGAAGAATGGATGCATTTGAATTATGGTGTTGTCAAAGAATACTAAAAATACCATGGAGTGAACAAATTTGTCTTGGAAGCAGTATAGTCAGAATGCTTCTTAGAAGCGAGAATGTCTAGTCTTCATCTCATGTACTTTGGTGTTGTTGTCAGAAGGGACCAGTCATGATTAGCAAAGTAGAGAGTCAGTGAAAAAGGGGAAGACCCTTAACAAGATGGATTAATACAGTGGCTGCAATGATGGCTTGGAAACCCAAAGGGGGTCACTAGAGTTGGAATTGACTTGATGACAATGAGGGTTTTTTTGTTGTTGTTTTGTTTTGTTTAGCTAGCTAGCCACCTACTGTGATAGTTAAGGAAGCTATGTGTCAACTTGGCTGAACCTAGTTTTGAGTGGCTGGGCAGCTGATAATAAACTTCATGGTGGAATATACAGTAAGCAGCTGAGTAGCTGCGTTAGGGATGTGGTTTGCTTCCAGTATGTAAGAAGTTGCTTTAAGAAAGGTTGTGAGCTTCTTGGCATATTTGGATCCTACATTTGGCCAAGTCATCAGTGAGTGACTTGCCATGTTGCCTGCTGATCTTGGAACTGTTTCTGAACTTGAACTAGGGGCCTGCTATGTTGCTTGACATTTTTGGGACTGTGCAATTTTACTTGTCGACCTTGGGTTTGTCAGCCTCAGCAGTAAGCAGCTGCCTGAGTTAAGGGATGCCTTTAGCTCCAGTGGGCCAGGAACAAGAGGCAGAGCTGAAGCCCAAGGTCTAGGGGCTTTCACTTAGTGCCCTAGAGCTGGCATTTTGAACTTGGACTTCTAGCCTCCTAAACTGTAAGAGAATAAATCCCTGTTTCTTAAAGCCATACATTTGTGGTATTTTCTGTTATACCAGCACTAGAGAACCCAAACACCTATCTACCTGTCTACCTATCAATCATATCCTGGTTGATAGATTTATCTCTAGGAAATATAGTTAGTGTCGCTCAGTTATAGATAAATCTGTCTATAGTTATATATCTACATCTTTATAAATATAGATGTTGAAGTTGTTAGTTGCTATTGAGTCAGCTCTGACTC